ACCAATAGTGGAAGTTGCTTTCTCACATTCAATACTCCAAGTTTGATGATAAAGAAACATAGCATTCCACAATAAAGAAGGGGTTTCTAACTAGTACTTTTGCTCCACTGCTGTCACATTTATATGCATTCTTGTTTCAGCTAAGTAGAATCGCATGTATGTCTCATCTATCTGTCCTATGCACATCTTTAGAAGGTAATTAAACCATAACTTATGGTGTTGGAGCAGAGATGCAATTAAAAGTTGCAGGACAGTAGCTATCAAGGATAGAAGAGATGTGGTAAAAGCACACCCCTAGTGCAGCATCATGCTGAATAGACACTTTACACAGCAGAGACAGGGAAGCTGAAAAGAGTTGATGGGAGAACAGATAAAGCCAGATTAGATTTTTTTTTAATTCTAGAATTTGTTTTAGAGGCTGCAGAGCAGCAGAGGAACCCATAGGTGAGGTCATTAGATTTCCCTGCACCACCCTCATAATCCAATATGGCTGCCTAGGTGTTGGTGGTTTCAAAGGAAATAAATGCTGCGTAAGCCAGCTCCTCAATGCAAATGTTATTGTATTGATGCAAGAAATTGTAGAGAAGCACATATTTATTAGCATGAATTGCTAATGGTAATTAGCCTTGTTGCCAAACAATATTTTCTATAATATATTTCTTGTTTCTGAGAAGATAAAAAGCCTAGCTTCAATTCTACTACACCTGTTTGATAATTCCATGAACCGAACTGTAGTATATTATTTTACATTTTTATAGGAATTAAACATCAGCAAGACGCAATAGATATGAAAAACATAAAGAGGGCGATATTTACATGACTGTTAAAGCTTTGTGTTCCAGATTTGGCGGAATCAGGTTAAAAAATCTGATTCCCCCACTGCACGTTAAGGTACGGAAATGTTCTGAAAGCTGTACAAAATGAAAATTCATTTTGTATACACTTCTGTGTTCAAAATGACAATAAACTTCTAATAAAAGTATAAGTCTAAAAGGGAATGGGATGTTTGAGATGCTAACATCTAGTGACTACGGAGTAAAAATGTTCAGCAGGATTACGAAAGAAAACAAGGTGGACCTCTAAATTGATTGATGCTACAAAGTCCAAAAATAGGTTGGGCTGAGTTCATGTGAATATTTCTACGTCATTTTACTCCGGCTCTGACTCTAAGCCTTTTTGGCACAACTTGCTATATTTTGATGAAGAATGGGATCCTTAAATCCCCTAGTAAATATTCTTTAGCACTTCCCTGGGCCAACAGCTTCTAGAGTACATTGTCCTGTAATGGTTAGGAGAAGAAAACCCTACAAGCTAAACTAAGCGTAATGTAGCTTTAATTAAAAGGCCAAGCATATAGCTGCTGTTCTCACACTATACACACTCTGAGAGATGCATTAAAAAAAGCTTCTAATGCAGAGTTTAAGGTTAAGGATTTCAAGTGTTTTACACGCACATATTTACACAGGTTTCAGGTCCTCACTTCTCTGGGTTTAAAGCAATAGTGTTAAAATATGTGGCTGCAAATGAGATGCAGACAGACTCACACCAGCGAATCCAAAAATCTGAGAGAACGGAGGGATGTGGCTTGGCTTTGAATTACTAAACTATAGTTTGAGGGGAAGGAAAGAGTCATATTTTGAATTCTAAGCATAGTGAACATCCCTGTGCTACGAAGTGTAAAGGATCTGCACATTTTTCTTTAGCTTTTCTACTAAAACTTAGGGAACTTTATCTAATAACAAAATATAATATTTATCACTTTAAGCATTTTAATTTGAGTCAGAGAGCAATAAAGGACAATTGTCATTAATGCTGAGCTCCTTATAGCATTTTGTCAAAAGATTAAACAAAATTTTAAGCAAATCCGACAAATGAAATTTTCCACTTTATATTTACCCTGCATATCAGAGAACGTCAAACCAGAAATGTAGAAAGATCAGATGTGAAACATTATTCAAAAACAGATAGCTCTTTTTTTTTGTTTTTGTTTATTTGGTTGATGTTTTTACACGGGGCTTTATTCCACAAAACTCCTGTCCAGAAATCAGTTGCTTGGACAAGCATTTTACTTTCAGGTTTTTCTCTGTGTATCAGTGTGTGAATGTGTTATACCACATTCACACATAAAACAAGCTTATGACCTGATTTGGCTTTTTGAGAGTCAAATCTTGGATCAGCAAATCTTTTGACACACAAACAAGGATGGAGCCCAAAAGGTGCACATATTAGTGCTTTCCTGAAGGTTCTGAATGTACAGTTGGCCTGATCTAACTGATCAGATGACTGAGAGATGCAAACATGGCAGAGCCACTTGTGGCGTCTGGATCATTCCAACTGCCACAGCAAGTCAAAATAATTGTTTTACTTTTGAAAGTAAATTTACTCAGAAATGTCCAAGACAATTCTTTCAGACGCTCCAAATGCACAAAAGTGCTGAATTTATGAATGTATATGTTCTCAGATTTCTTACGGTATTATTATTATATAGTTTAAGACAATTATACAAATTTAAACTCATATAAAGTAGCATTTAGTTAACCAGCAGACCTTTTCCAAAATAAAAGTTTCACATCTGCGTCGACAAAACAGAAGAAATTAACTTTTTCCTTTTCTCTTACCAATTATCATCATTCCTAGAACATGATAACAAGAATAACATTAACTACATGAGAGGTAGTGTAGATAAAACCATGAAAAATGCTCAGTCCTCTTTGGTTAGGCAGCACCTTTATATCCATCATCTTTATATCCATTTTTGCAAGGTACCTTTCTAGTAGATGATGGTGAATAAAACTATGCACCTACAATATAAGGGGACAGATAATCCCCATGGTCCCACTTACCTTAAAAAAATGAATCCAGCACTGCTGTAAACCACCCAAAGAAAACCACTCTGGGTGATACCACTTAATGCAAAGGTGTAACGTTCCACTCACATGCAAGAAAATGCAGTAGTATAAGGAGTATTTACTTGGAAGTTATTGGATGGATTCTAGTTATGGCTGGCTCCAAGTCAGCCCTTAGTTTCTGGGTTCTCCAGACCCTTAAGTTTTACTCCACTTTAGTTTATAGATGCTTCCCTTCTCCAGCAAATTTTAATCAATCAAGTGGCTCATTAACAGGCCTTCAGCAAACTTAATGGCAACATGGCAACAGACATATTCAATCATTTGAGTCAGCTGTGTTGGAGCAGGGATGCACCTCAAGGTTACGATGCTGTAGAGCAGTGATTCCCAGCAGGGGGTATGTGTACCCCTAGTGGTCCGCGAGGGTATTGCAATGGGTACATGAAAATATTTTCTTAGGTAGTAAAATAAAATAGGGCTGGAATCTCTTCTGCTTTGTTACAACCCAATTTAAAAAAAAAGAAAAAAAAAAGATTTTATCAACCAAAAAGTGTGTTTTTCTTTGATTTTACCTTCGGCTGTGACACACCAAAACCAAGCAGAGGAACATCCTGGAAGTAAAGAACAGCCTGTCATCAAAGCAGGTCAGGTGTTTTGATGAAAACAACTAAGATGAATTAAGTCAGCCTGACTATCATTTTTGTTCTTCATTTTGTTCCCAATTCATCAAGTTTAAATGTATTTATAAGGGAGTTACTCAGAGTAGCTACAGTTTTATAAATACAGGTTTATATTATGATTTTAATTTGCATTTATTTCTATGTCTTACTAACTTCCAGGCAACATATTTAAGATTTTCTATTTGAGATGGAAAGAAATACAATGATAAGAATTAAAGGCTCAAATTAAAGGATTAAGTAAAATTGTCTTTATTTTATTTTTATCAGTTATTGTACGTTCCACTTTTGGACAATCTTCAATACTTTGACTGAGAGGGGAACTGTAGAGGACCATAGTTGGAGATCCTGCCTGAGTTAATACAGCAGCCCCAAAACAGCATTATAGTGATAGATTTGTTAATATCTAAATGTCCAGACATTTTAGGACATATACAGAAGACTCTTTTTCTCTGTTGTCTGTCATTGCACTGTAGTCCATTCAGCTACTATGAGCAAAGGGATTTTTGCAAGATGCTCTCAGATTTGATCAATTCCACTAATTGATAAATTCTGATAAATGCATTTGCATATTCTCTTACCAGTATTTTACATGTTCTGCTGATCAGCACGTTCCACATATCAATACAAAGAGCTGCAAATGCTGCGCTTCTCACTTTACAGTTGCAATCCTTTGTACACTTGGTTAGAAGATCGGCTTTTCCCATGCTATCAAATTTGCATATATACCCTATAACTTCATTTGATTAGGGCCAATGTCTGTAAAACACACATGTCAAAGAATCAGTGTCTCCAGCACTATCAGCGAGATATGTACACTTCACCAAGGGGATTTTTTTTTTGGTCGTGTCGAAATTATTATATTTCTGAAAGCTGCAATGGAAAGACTTAATTTTGCATAATACGAGTCATGCAATCTGTGACTGGACCTTTCTGCCTGGTACACGACAAACAAGACCAGCAGTAGTTGCCTGTTGGCGCCCACAGATGGCTGAAATATGGATATCTCATGTGTTTACATCCATCGCTGCCATGTTATTTTCAGTTAACACTTGAACAAATATATTCTCGTGAAATTGTAATTATCTTTATATCTAATGGAAATACTGCAATCGTGAAACATTTTTCCAATATGCAGAATATCAAGATAGTTTTGTGGACATTTGTAAAGGAAATTGAGCTACTATTATTCTACACAAAGCAAGAAGGGACTACAAGACCTAGAGCAAAATGTTGGTGAGAAAACTAAATAAATACAATAAATAGATGGATAGATAAACAGATAACAAAAGTGAACAAAACAATTTATACTTTATTTGTATTCAGTAGGTAATGCCAGAGCAGTGTTTGACTCTTGAACACTGGGAAGAGGTTTTGAGCTTATAAGTATTCGAGATCACTTATAAACGTTTATTCTAAAATATTTAAAAAATAATAAGAAATATGTAGACGACAATAAGGCAAATAGCACAATTAGTCAAGTAAGTTCTGTTTATTTCCCTATAAACAATATTTAGGTTTGCTTTAAATTATATCCTATATGGTTTCTTTATGTTCATGTCAACAATTTGTTTACAAAAAAAAAAGAAAATGTAAATGTCTGAATGATTTATACATAAATAAATATCTACAGTACAAACATTATGCCAATGAATAACATCTAGCTATAAGATTAAGCAGGTACTGTACACATTAATAAGACTTAATACTATTTTTTATTTTATACATCTAAGACCAAGAAAGTTAATCTTCTTAGAAAATAAGAAAATATAAATACTAACAGAGGCAAGGACAAAGATGGCACTTAGATGCATTGTGTTTACATTTAGCGAACCGTCATGAAGGTACAGCATTACTTAGATGTAGTTCTCATCAGCTAATACATAATTAGCAACATTCACAATAGAGTAAGAAGCTCATATCATTATTTAGCAAAAGATTAGCTTAGTGAATTAGACTCCAAGGCTCTGAAATCATCAGATCCCGTTTACCTGGTGTTCATTTAGTTGCAATTTTGATTAAACACTGATTAATTTACTTACGGTGAAAATAAACTAGTTTGCAATATCTTAAAAAAAAGGGTACAAAAATGCAATTTAGTCAGGATATTAGAGGAATTTACTCATCTTAGATGAATGAAATATAATTATCTCGTTAGATTGAATTTGGAGCACTTCCTCATGTTAAACATTCTACATCCAGTCTGATGAAGACATAGCAGGAATACAAGATTCAAAACTTTGCAGCAATATTAATAAAACGTGTTGACTTCACTTCTCACTCCAAATTCTCACACAGCCTTGTTTCTTTCATCTTCAATTTTCTCACATAAGTGCATGTTACACAGTATTAGACACATGTGCTTAAATGCAAATATGCATGCACTACCTAAACCTAGCTATACATGTTTATAGAGATCGGGGTATTTACATGAATGCATGCAAATCTAGTTTTTTTTTTTTTATTAAGATCTAGTGTCATTCTAAAAATGAGCCCCATTGCATTACTCTATGTTGCAGAGTGAATACTCTATCTAGATGAAAAGGCTTGGAATATTCACACAAAACACAACTACAGACCTATCTCTAATTCGTTTTTTCTCTCTTTTTTGATATTTCAGATAAAGATATCCCCCTTGGATATATCTATGTGATCTTCAACTAAGATTCCCTTTAAGTTGGTCTTCTGTTAGTTTATGGTCCCCGATAGCTCTAGAAACAAGTATAAATACATGCATACACATATACACATTCACACTACCCTCTTCTGTTGTTTCAACTTTTTTTTCACTAAATCCTTTATTTTTCTCCTTCTAGCTCTTCTTTTAGAGGCTCGTCTCTTTCTTTGGCGTTCTCTGCCCCTTGTCTGATTACTGGTAACCACTGTGACATCAACCCGGTGCCAGACCCTTTGACCTGGTTGAGGCGGCTGAGAGCTGCATACAGCCCAGTGTTGGTGCTGCTGCGGGCCCCTGGATCCTCCTGCTGCTCGGTGTAATACATCTCCAGAGCTGCAGGGGTACAGTGCTTCTGCTGTTGTAACAGAAAGAAAGAAAAACTTTTGTTTGCATCAATAAAAGTTGTTTATAGAATCAACAAATACCAGAAAACATCGGGAGTAAACCTCTTTTCTATAACTTTGTATAACTTTAATACTTTCATAAGAAAAAAAATAGCTACAATGCTTTAAAAAAGTAATTATCAATGTGATCCAAATAAAACAAAAAAAATAGCATAAGTAAAAAAAAGCATTGTTCAAATGAAAATTTTATTTATTGACAGAAATCATCTGTAACATCACCCTGAACCGAGTAAAAGAAAAATGTCTGTCTTTGGTAGATTATTGTGATTAACCAATATTTTTATATAGATGGGGTAAATGCCAAAGTCGTCATTAAAACCAGAGCTGAAAAAAAAGAGAAATTCTTTAAAAATAAATTTTCTGTTAAGGAGGCTTTTTCACAGATGCCAAACAGAAGCCCACTATGTCCTACCTATAGCACTGCAGGCTTCACTTGCTAACTGTTTAGGAACTATCAAGAAGCAAAAAAAGCTTTAAACAGTAAAAAAAAAAAAAAAAATCCAAGGACTAAAACACTGCTTACCAAACAAAAACTAAAAAACAAAAAAAATTTGATAATCCTTTAGATTTAATTGATAACAGTAAGAATACATCTAGTCAATTAAATTTAGCTTGTAACAGTGCAATATTGGTTTAAATATTTTAAAACTAATCTAATGAAAACTGTAATGAAATAATTTTTTTTGTGGTATTCATACCCCCTGTCTTTATGTAATATAATCAAGCAGCCACTATTGTTAAACCCCTTAATAAGTTAATGTAGCAAACAATGAAGATGTATTATTTACAGAACATTACAAGGCCAATTGACTTTACATTTTGTTTAATTAGATTTTTCAATTTCAAACAATAAAAAACTTATATTGCAGCTTTAATGGGATTGTTTTGCTAACCCTAATGATAAACCTTTACATAAAATTTGGGCTTTGTTAAAAGAAGTAAAAAAAACTGTATTTGATAACCTAAAAAAGAACATCAAGACATATGCCTCTTTCAATCCTTGTTATGTTCCAGACAATGAACTAATGGGGAAAAAAAGCTAAACTTGTAACCTACAAAAACTTCAAAAGCATTGCCAAAGGTTCTCTCCTACTCCCCCTCTTCTCTTCCCTCCCACCCACCCACCGTTAAGCCTTTAATCACAGTTTAGTCATGCTGAGTCCTAATTAAAGACCCCTCTGATTCACAGGCAAGCATCCCAATCTTTGCCTGACCAGAAAGCAGGATCCATCGCTCCCTTCCCCCCCGGCCTCTGTCTCTCCCACCCTGTGGTTTTTCTTCTGCGTGACAGGCTCTTTAGCCTAACATGCGTGGCAGTGCTGGTGCGTTACACGATGCCTCCAAGGTGCTTTGGGAGATAATGAGTTTAGATTTCAGGCACCAGTTTACAAGGAATCCCTCTGAAGTGACAGTTGGGAGGGTGTGGCGAGAAACGAGAAACTATAGTCATGTTTGTCCACCCAAGCGGGTCAAAAGCCAAAGCGGTATTGATCTTTGAGCTACTTCATATCTGGCTTCATAAAATGCTTTGGTCCTCACTGCTCAAAACCTATGCACTTGAAAGTAGTGAATTTTTTCACTATTTATCTTGTTTATCTAACTAAATCATCTGCTAACCAATTTTCTATAAATATACTTTCAGTTATAAACAGTGATTTCACCACAAGATCTTATATTAAATTTCTGCAGTATTTCTTTGCTGTCCCGTAAAAGGCTATACCAATGCTGTCACTATGTGACTTTGGTGGGAAGTATGTTAGCTATTAAACTTAGCATTTGTTACATGGCCTAATTTCTGTGCTATTTATGGATCAGAGCTTCTATGTTCCTTTTGTCTACGTCTCTCTCTTTGAACCCCAACTTGGCTTTGGCAGATGGCAACTCACACTGAGCCTAGTTCTTTCTTCCTGTTAAAAGGGAGTTTTCCTCTCCACTGTTGCTGCATGCATGCTTGATGTGAGGGTTTACTGTCGCATCAATAACAAAATGCAGCTAAATATCTACTCTCGCCACATGCTTATCCAGGAGGAACAAGTGAAATCGAAAACCTTAAGTCAATCTGTCTGTATTATTTGACTGAATTGTCTCATTTAAGTGCCTTAAGATGACGTGTGGTGAACTGACAATATATGAAAAACACTAACCTGAAAATAAAATAAACTCATGCAGTTGTTTCTTTTCCATTTGTCTGAACTCCGTTTGACCATCTGTGGTTCAAAGTGTAAAATAAACAGACTAAGCCAGTAGGAGAGTTTGTGAAGCATTAATTCTACTTGTAAAGAAAGAATTTTATGTGTAGAAAGTACTGTAAGCTAAAAAATTTAGTTTGTGAGCAAAGTTCAGTACAGCACATTGATATTTATTAATATCATGCTGAGCTAAGCAAGGAGGTTTCAGGACTAAACTTAATTTTAAATGTTGAACATGAATGGGATGAGTTTCATCTTGCTAAATGACATATTTGATGAATCTATTATTCATTGAAAAAACTGACTGGTGTTAAAAGTCTGACCTAAAACCAATATGACGAACATGTAGTTTTAATGACTGATATAGCTGAGGGTGACATTTATCACATGACTCTGCTGCTGCAAGAAAATGTAAAGTAAAGATTAGTGGTGGGCTGCCAGGGCCTTTAAGGCCTTTACTGCTGGCCTAAAACCAATTAGAAACACTAACCTACATTCATAACCTAAACTTTAATTTTCTTCTATCCAACTGTATTAATTTATTCCAAACAATCAATTTTCATAATTTTGTAGCTTTTCTCTTGGCTAAGCTGCTTCCATTATATGTATGTGGTTGCTATATTTTATGTCCAATCAGATTTCAGCCTTAGTGCGTTGCTATGGCAATTAAATCTGCCCAGGGTGTTCAGAATCAGCACTGCTGGCTGATGGTACCTTAACAATAATATTGAGGAACGTTTTCTTCAACCAATCAGATTTAAGCTTTGCCCCAGTGTCAGCATTTTCTGCCCCCTGATTGGCCACGGCCACCCTGGCCCATTATGCACAGCCAGTAACGTAACATTAAAAATCACAAAATACACCAAGATATGAGTAGGTGTTTACCTAAGTCTTAATGTTTTGAACAGGCACGTTTACAACAATAGTAGATTCAAACCCTGAAATTATGACTTTTAGTTTCAGTGTGCCACTCCAAGATTTTTAGTGGCCCCATCTGGCCCCCCTATGAAACATATCTGGAGGCGTGATTAAAGATTAATTAAACTTTACACACTGAACTGATCAAATGGTACACAGGCTTTGCAGTCCATTTATGCTCATGGTCATGCACGTCTGAATTTTTGGTTACTCAGCTAAGACCATGTGCGCACTGCTTTATTATGAATAAATGAGATGGAGACTTTTCACAGAAAGTGGAAAAATTACTTTATAAAGAAAAAAAAAGTTAAAAAGAACAAATGTTTTTGATAGGGACCCCAGCTGTTTTCGGTGTGTATGACTCAGTTCTCTATTTCTACCTTTCCACTGCTTATGTGATTTGCTGATTTACTGATATGTATTTTGGGGTGAATAGTTTTGCATTAACTATAAATGGCTGCAGTGCTGTCCACAAAAACTTTAGACTTAGACAGATTTATTTTGTCATTTTGTATACACAAGTGTATACAAAAAGAAATTTTATTTAAAACAGGTCTAGATAATTCATGTTTTTTTTTAAACTGAGCAGCATCCCAAAACAAGAATATAATTCAGCCTTAGAGGAGCTTCCAAGGATAAAGGGTCTGACAGTGTAATTGCTTGTAATTGTATTCATGCAGTCGTGGAGCTCACCTTCAGGACAAAACCCTCTGGACAAGTAAGCTGGTCGTACCACATAGCTTTGTACATAAGCAGAAGGAGCAGGCTGGTCAGAAAGGCCAGCGTGATCAAGATCAGACCTGTGATCTGGATCACAGAAGAAAAAAACACAAAACAAGTACAGACAGAGCAAGTACAAGGTCAGAAACACATTTATGGATTTAGAAAAAAAAATCTATTTTGGTTTCATCTGAAAACAAGTTTTTTTCCAATCCTCTTCTGGATTATCCATTTGCTCTCTGGCAAACTTCAGCAGGACCTGGATAGGTAATTCCTTAAGCAGGGACACACACCGAGCACTGCAGGATCTGAGTCCCTCTGATCGTAGTGCATACTACCTTTTTATATTAAAATATAAAATATTTTGAAATATAATAATATAGATTTTTGTTGTTGATATGCAAGATAAATATTAAATCTTCAATGACTAGTAAAAATCCATTCCATTTTTCGTCAGATTGGTGATGTATTTCCGCCCTAGGGTGCAAAAATCTTTGCCCAGTGACTCGTTAAAAGCTGCAAATGTGCAGTAGCTCTGCAATACAGAAGTATAGGAGAGCTCAGAGTGCAGCTAAGCTGCGACCTGAGGTGACAGGAAGTGTATTTGCTCATCACCTCCCGCCACAGTCCAGACGTTTTGTGGGTGATTGACAGGTCGAGTTGTTGGAGAGAGAGAGAGAGAGAGAAACACATTCTCAAAAAATACATTTTTTTATATATATTAAAAAGTATAAAGCTGACTAACAGCGTCTCCATTATTAAACTGGTAATTTTTTTTTAGGTTTGTGACACAATGTTGGACCATGCAAAACACAGATTTACCTTCACAAAGCCTCAGAAGGGCAACATTTATGTACAAAAAGTAAACCTGTGCATGAAATTATGTTTTGTTTTTATAAATTGCTTTTAAAATTATTGTTTTTTGTTGTTGGAATTCATATAAATATATTGGTGTGATAACAGTATGCACTGGATTGTGTTTGTTAAACATCTATTTTAAAATTTATAGCCCCCACTGGAGAAACTCCACCAGCCCCAGTTCTTTCCTTGTTTGTGTTTTCAAAGACAAAAAACTGCACCCTAGTATTTTTTACTGTGTACTTGAGCTGGGAAACCTATTTTAAGCCATTTTTGATTATGATTGAGAGTCACAAAAAATCACTCTAAGGCCGTAAATGACCCGTGGGCCAAATTTGAAAACCCCTGGTTTAAAGAATCTTAACAGTTTATTCTGAAGAGGCCTTAAATAGCAAGCAAAATACTCACAGCTGATATTATACAAGTTTCTGGTTATGGTCGGATTCAGTTTTTATGTCATGACATGATGTTTTACCTTGACTTTATCTGAGACATCATTGTAGAAATTGATATTGAGCTTTTTAATGTTGGGAACGTAGAGCCTGTTCCTCTGCTGCCGCTTCAGCTGAAACTGTGTTTTTGTCTTTACGGTGACCTGGAGGAGGGAAAAGCAGTAAAAACAGCAGTCTGGGAAAAGCTTCAAATGTCCATTCAGGTCAAAGGATTAGGTTGCCTCTCGTTCTCAGCACTAGTTTAATGGTAACACATCCAGCAGTCATGCAAATAACAATTTCTATCTCTTAAAATAAACAATGCACATTTGCAAAAGCAATCAGTTTTATTGCAGGCTCTTAAGAGGACATTTGGGGACCGCTTGGTATTTTCATGATATTTCTCTAACAGCTCCCAATTCTGTCGAGCATTATTCAGAGCTAAATGCTTCCTCCAGCTACAAAATGAGCAGAGGCTTTCTGCTGTCGTTATATATTCACAGCACTGTGTATATTTGTGGGCTGATGCCAAGGTTTTAACGTGGGATGGTGGGAAAAGAAAGGTAAACACAATAAGCTAAGCATACAGCAGGCTTATAAAAGATAGGTAAGTGCACCTGTGGGACTGTTTTCATAATAATTGTCCCAGACTCTCTGCAGTGAGTGGTATTCTTTTTAGCGTGTATTTATTTCTGTTGTATAACGAGATTAAACAGCCAACTTAAAAGAACAACACTTTTGCGAGCACATAGATGGAGAGGGACAGAAACGAAGTGCAGCTGAGATGATTGTTCATACCTTGTCTGCCAGTGGCTGCTGAAGCTGGCTGACCTCCAGGGGTGTGATGAGGGGGACGTTATCAAAGCCATCATCTGCAGATGGCTGCTTCTCCAGCTTATCGGATAGATTACTGCCCAGCTTCACCATGGCTGCTCAGCTGCCTTAAATGGCCCCAACAGATTTAAGCAGCAGTGAGAGACAGCTCAGGTCAGGTTGACTCAGTGTGTTTCTATCCAAATGTAAAACGCTCAGTGGTCCTGGCAGAACAAACAGAAAACACACAGGAAAATAATTAAAAAGAAAAAAACACATATAGTTTTGCTACTATCAATGATGAAAATTCATATATTTCATGTGTGGCTGTGAAGAAGATATGAGCTAGATCTCTATTTTGGTACAAAAAAGGATTTTCTTATTTAGGTATATTCCCATATAATGCCAGATATCAAATTTAAAGCCCGATCAGTGAACTTTTAAGTATCTGTATCAGCTTCACCAATAGAATTCAACTCTAAACCAACTTTTCTGCTCTACTGTCTGGGGTTTTAATGCACATGTCTTGCAAACAGTAGTAAATGACGACTAAAGAATAATATGTTCATGCAGCAAGTCCGTGTTTCTTTTTCATGTTTCCTTCTGTGTTCTTAGATATTAACCATCTGTCCCAGCTGAGATCCACAGAGGCTAGCTGGGACAGAGGGTATATTGTCTTTACTTTTTACCTGTGAAAAAAAAGACTACAGGCACAATGAACATTTTTACACAAATTATTTATAATTCACTTAAAAACAGGCCGCAAAAGAAAATATGAAATTATTTGTGACTGTTAGAAGTTTTAAAATAAAACATAAATCTAATTTAAGTAATTATAGTGGGTATATTTTTTTTGAATTTTGTATGTGCAGCATAATAAATGAATGCGAAAAACCTGTTATGAAGTAGGAGTGAATGCAGTGTCCACAACATCAAATGTGTCATAGAAGCAGATAAGAATGTCTGCTTTCAGATTACTTATGTTCAAAGTGTCAGAAGTACACTTAAGTAAAAGTACAGATATTAAAAACCGGCCTGTAGTAAAAGTACAGACTGAATGCGTGAATTATATAAAAAAATAAACTGTCAAATAACTGAATGCTCTAAATTTTGAAGCTGAACAGTCTGAACCGATGTCCTCCATTAGCATCATACTTTTTAGAGCTTTGGTAACCACTGCATAAAGTTTACAAAGAGTATTATAATTATAATACAGGTTGAATCTTATTCAACATATTAATGTAACGTCTAATAAAGGAGGAATGTCTTTTGTCTCAGAATCAGATCCATCATCTGTAATTTTTTCCAGTCGCCTGCTTTTATTCATATCACTAACAGTGTTTCCTGTAAACTGACTGGGCTCCAAAAGGGACACATTCCCTTTAGGACTTTTCCTGTTTTATTACAGCTGTTACATGATGTTGTTATCAAGAAATATAGAAGTAATGAGCCAGTTAGGAGAAAGTAAGGAGTAGAAAGTAAAAAGGTTAGAAAAAGAGATATTCAAGTAAGTTTAGGTCTGGGTAAATCGATATATTGATATAGGGAAAATGGAACATCTGGGCTTCAATACACAAATCTGGTCTTTGACTTTATGCTACATCCACCATGAAGACCCCCTGTGAACAAAGTGGAATGTTTGATTGCTGTTAAAGCATAAAGTCAGCAAAGATCCAGTTGCACCTGTTTATCAACTCGTAATTCCAACTTTCAGCATAATTATGATTGAAATTTTTGACTTAGAAGTTGGAAGTTTGGAGTCCTGAGGACAAACAGAAGCCACGAATAATGCAGGGCAGCCCTGGAAATGACATGAGGTCTGAGCCTCCTGCAGGGCAGCGCTAACCATAACTTAACCCACCTAAGAATCTGCTTTTTGGTGTAACCTCACTGCGAAAAAGTCATAAAGATATCAAAAACTTAACTTAAAACAAGTCAATTTTCGATTAATTTGAGCAGGTAAGTAAAATGAACTCCCAATGGAATAAGTGTTTTGCTCCTGAAACGAAATATGTATATTAGTGATACAGTTATAACTGTATGATCTGACTAAATTGTCTTTGATTGACATATTTCGTAAATTAGAGCTATATAGATAAAATAACCTGAGGTTTTAATTAAATTGAAATAAGACAATAAAACAAGATTTTGTTACTTTTTTTTTGAGTGCAAACATAATTTTACTGTTAGGAATCCAGTTTGTGTGGGTTGTGTTTTTGTGTCTTTCTCTCCCTCCACTTCCAGGTGGTGCCCTGTCCTCTTTGGTCCTCTCACACACCTGCGGCTGGTTGACTCATCACTGAGGACTATTTGAGCCATGGACTGTCACTACCTTGGCGCCAGAGTGTTTGCCAGTTTTGGGTACTCTAGCCAAGCTGAGGTTTGCTGAGTCTAACTTAGTCTTTGTTTTTCGCTGAGCCTAACCTACTTTTTGTCTTTGCCTTTTTTGCAGGAAGCCTTCCTGCAAGCTGGAAGTTTGGCCTTCTCCCCCTGGAAGGATTGTTTGAGTCTCACACTGAGCAGGAGATAAACCTCCACAAGTTAGGTTGAAGTCCTCCTGGATTCCCAAGTGACAGTCCACTCAATAGCTCCTCTGGGTCTAACCAAGTCTATACCTGTCCGTCCTCCAACGAGTCTCAACCTCTGGAAGAACCCACAACGACTGGATTCTGGGAGTCCCGTTTTCTCTGTCTCACCAAGTCATCGTTCAAAGTTCCAACGGATCCTGAACTAACCCCTGATAAGTCCCTTCCCTCTTCCAGTTCCGGTTCACCAGTTTACTGTGTTTCCTGAATCCAACCCTGCTGGTTTCATCAATAAACCTGTTCAAACTGTTACCCTGAATCTCTGAGTGGTTTACTGCATGTGGGTCAGATCTCTTAAGAAAATCATGACATTTACCCTCACTGAAGAAAATGTGACTGACTAAGTCTTAGCTCACCTTTAGCTGAGTGACTTCATGTAGCATGGCTCCGTTTGAAGTGCCTGATTCCTAAAATCTAAAGCCTGATGTAAGAATCTGACGTTAAAAGACCTAAAACATTTAAACATGCTATTCTGGGGAATGCCATTAATCTTAAACTAAATACATTATTATAGCGCTCTATGAAATTAAGCTATTCTTTAACTGCTTCTTTAGTAATCTATTGGGGTTATGGTTATCAAAACCATACAGCCTAAAGCCTTATAAAGCAGCACAGCCTGTTCTGTGTGTTTATTCAAACAATCCGGGGTAAACACGTTTCATAACCAGTGTGTGTGATTCATGTTTGTACTTTTCAAGCCTATCTCTTTCTAGAATCTCTTTTCCTTAATGTTTCCGAGCAGATGCTTGAATCCAACCTATTTAGTTCCTCTCCCGCTTTGATAGTGACTACGTTTTTTTCACTTTCATCAAATGATCATCTAAGTGTGGAGAGAGAGATGAGCCACTTATCTCAATCACACAGAGCGACACAACACCTTCCCCCAGCCAAGGACCCCACTGGCCCGCTGAAGCCAATGACTCACAGCCATGATACACAAACCAGGAGGAAAAGAGCCACAATGTTGGCAGGGAGAAATCCATGAAGGGCAGGAAATGTGCTTTTAATGACGCAGGATCTGTTACTGGAGCTTCCAGCCACAAAACCAATGAACAGGTGATTGAATAAGGAAGTGCTTGTTGTCACCATGTGGGAGACACAGAGTGTCTTGCAAAGGGATGACAGTACGCAGTGAACCTTTTTTCTTTTTATCATACTGCAACCACAATCATCATCATTTAATTGAAATCTTATATGATATACCAACACAAAGCAGTGCGATATTGTGAGGTGGAAGGGGAAAAAAACTGTGGTTTTCAAAGTGGTTTAAGAAAACCAATCTCAAGAATGGTAGCATGCATTCTTTTGGTCATAATGAATCAATACTTTTAAAATAAAAAGCATGAAGTTGGATAAAATGAGTAACATACCGTAAATAATACCTCTATTCCCTTTAGGTAAAAAAAAAAGTCAAAGAATGTGTTAATTTAAAAAAGAAGAAGGTTTTTGGCAGCATCTCCAACTTGAGGACAGCTGAAGCTAAATTAATGACGAGGTTTACAACCGACTTGTGTCTCGTGGAAGAAGCCCCTTGATCTGCTTCTTAACAGACCAAGCTGGGTTATTGGTGACTCTGGGTGTTACATGAGCAGGACTGGTAGGGAGTGTCTCTTCATTTCTCCTTCTTGCAAAAATGCCTTTTATTTCTTTTTCCAAAAGTTTGATTTTGTTTCCTGTCCGTAGGATGGTTACCTCGTAGCATGCAGGCAACTGTGTAGGGATCTATTACTAAATGATTTAAAAGATGAAATCATAACAACCTAATGATGATTGTATTTGGACAATTTTAGGCGCAAAGTCAGTGGAATCAGCTTGATCTAATATCCAAAGGTCATTTTCAACCGTCGTAATCTGAATATTGAACTGTCTACTTTTATCTTTAAATACAGTTGTTTAAGGTCAACTTTAGAGGTCTGTAGAAAATACTTTTGCTGAAGCACAGACTGAGGTATTGAATCCCTTCATTTTTTCTTTGCACAGCAGAAGCTCAGGACGCATTTAAGAGGTCTGTCAGTCCTCATGTTTTATCTCACACCAGAGAAATGTACCTCTGCATTTAACCCATCCCCTAGAGGAGCAGTGGGCTGCCATTGCGTGGTGCCCAAGAAGCAATCAGGGGTTAAGGGTTTTGCTCAGGAACCCAGAGTGGAGGAAGTGGGGATTGAACCGGGTACTTGCAGCCTTCTCAGAGCACAAGTTCACGGCTCTAACCCACTAGGCCAACACTCTCAAATTGGATCCTTCTCACATATAGATATTCTCAGTTGTTTTAGGGTAATTTGCTGCTGAAAGGTTTACCTCTGGCCCTGTCTTCTTGCCTTATATCTACAGTAGTTTCCCCTATTTTCCAAGCAACTTTGACCAACTGTTCTGTCACTGCTGGAAAATAAAATCCCATTCCCACAGCATGATGCTGCAACCGCTATGATTCACCATCATAACAGACTGAGGCTTTATTTTTGCTAGACTTAAATTAGACCAATTGTTAGGAGTGCATCAGTGTGCTGTCAACAGATTATAAGCTTTGAATTTCCTCCAAAGTTGTCATGATCCTTTAGGCTGCTTCTCTGTAATTTCCCAGCCCATCAGATTAAGCCGATAGTAATGTCTCCGTTCTCGCAGTTTGAGTCATCTGTGTATTATACCCTATTTCTCTCCGTTGGCACGGCATCTCATGCTGCTTCTCTAGAGGCTTGGGGTAAGATGTCCTTCCTTAGGACAGAGGAAACTAGATGCTCAGTTAGGGGTATGAGGAACATTTGTTTTTATAATTGGCTTCTTTTTATCTCATCATTAGGGGGTCTCATCCCCTCATTGGTTTACCTCCACATAACACCTATTTATTTATCTAATTCTTTTCTTATATATATATATATAGTGGTATGGTTACAATGTGTGACATTGTTTTTTTCTGATTTTCTAGAGAAATATTTCCTTTTTAAATTAAGTTGTTCCTTTATTATTTTGAAGGTTGAATGTTCAAACCCAGTTTCAACCTTCTCTACAACTTCCCGCTTCGCTTTCAGCCATTTTCCTTGGGTTGCAGTGTGCCTCATGTTCACTGATGTTCTCTAATAAACCTCTTTGACTGTCACATAACACCTCTATTTATACCATGTTTAAATTACACACAGGCGGAATTTAGAAGTGAGCAGATTGTTGCAGTGGATTTTATTTAGGAGTGTCAGAGTACAGTGAGATGAACAGTTTTGGATCTAGAGGAAAATCTATAAGGCTGTGGTCCAAATGGATAAAAACAGGCAAAAGATAAAAAAAAAAAAAAAGAAACTGGCAACAGTACATAATTCAATATACTAAGGAAGCTAAAAAGCTAAGTAAGCTGAAGCTTAAAGCTAGCCTCAATTTCTAAGTAATTGTTATAGGAAATTATAAAGGCGAAATATTAAGTTGGACCAAGAGGCAAATGAGGTCGAGTGTATTCTGACAATGCACATTATAATAAGAAATACATTAAATAACCAAAAAACATCTTAGAATAAGTGTATCCTCCCCTAATAAACTAACTTACTTATATTTCAGTTATGGCATTCTGTTTTTCTAGAATCCTGTCCAAGAAAAGAAACATTTTATGAATAAATAAATGCTATACTTCTATATTTTGCATGATGATTCCATAATAATCTATAATTTCTACGATGAAAGACAACAATAACCACCTACATTATGAAAACAGAAAAAATTTGAAGGCATCTGGGAAAACATGCGTATGAAACAGTTTCACTTTATTTTTTTTTCCTTCTCTTCATCTGTAATCTCAAAACATTTAGAAATGTTTGAGCTGTTTTCTTTTTTGATATAAGCAAGTATATCCTAGTAATTTGGATCCTAGTAATGGAAAAGGTTAGGCTCTGCTTAAACCCTTTTATTCATTGTCCATTACTAAAAAAGGCCTGCAGTGTACTGTATGGAGACATATTTTAAAATTTGTTCTGATGACCAAAATGAAACTTAACTGAACTAAATAACAGGGGCCACGCTGCAAAAATTATCTAGAAATAAGTCAACATTTCTTAAATTAAGTGTATTTACCCTTAATTTGAGTAGGTAAATAAGATGATTACTTCCTTACTCTTAAGATAAGATAATTAGATAATATGCACTTGAAATACGACAATGCAATTATTTGTTCTTATTTTACATGTAAATTGTATTCTTCCATTGGGAAACTGACTCACTTACCTTCTCAATTCAAGAAAAAAATGCACTTATTTTAAGAAAAAAATACTTATTTAGATTTCCATTCTTTGCAGTGCAGTGCCAGCTTTACAGGGGTAAGGGCCCCTGTATATCCCTATTTAGAACCGCCCATGAGAATGAATATAAAATGGACATCACACGGTTTCTTATTTAGTAAAAGAAAACTTTGAAAACCGTATATAACATTCAGGCTTCCCCACATAAATTTTTTTTGGGTCTATTAGATCAGATCTCAAAGCAACATAATAATAAAAAGAAAATGTGGGAAAAAAGAAAACATTTTCCAGTGCACTGCAAATATATTTCAATCATTTGCTGTCATTTTGGAATATTTTTAATTGACAGGGAAGTATCTATGTAAAGAAGCAATAATTACTAGATAGTTTATGTTAGAAGAAGATAGTTGTGGAGAGGTGGGCGGGTGAAGCGGTCATCTGGTGCTGACCACCCTTTTTCCTCCCCACAGTTGGAGTGAAATGTGGGTACGATGAATCATCCTGTATCTGTGATTAACAAATGAACTGTGCTGCTGTCAAATACTCCATGTTCCCACACTCTGCTGCTGCGAACAAGTTCTGCGAGAGCTGTGAATCACATCTTTACACTTGCACTTGCAACATCTCAGCTTCCTTAAGAATTAAAACCCCTTTTTAATTTGGTTCCTTACCTCAGTCTCACACAGGGCCTCCATTAATGTAAAAAGGAGCTGTCTAAAGGAGGGATACACTCTGTGCTATGAATAGGTGAGTGCTTGGCACCTTCTGTCAAGTTCTTCAAGGTTCACTGCTCATGCATATCTAAACTTGGTGCATTGAAGGCTGCTGCAAGAGGGCATGCAGCAGGGAAGAGGAAAAATGAGCTGATATAACATATTTATTTCTCTCAGCATGTTTTTCTGAATAGGATCTGCATAATCACACTAAGCTGCAGTAAATGTCCACGAGTTCAAATAAATCAGCTTTTTGTCTTTAGGATCCAGAGCAAGACTGGATCCTTCTCAGAAATACATCTCCATAGACGTGAGTTTGTTTTTTTTATCTCCTCCCTGAAGCATATATTGATTATATTTAGCTTCATGTCTAAAAGCGCAGTAATGCGTGTCCCATTTCTGCAACTTGTTTCGCAGAAGCAGCCAGAATCAGCCTGATGGAGCCCGTCTGTTACGCAAACAAGCAGCCGCAGTGCCGCATGCGAGGAGGGGAGAGAAACTTACTGTGTGTCAGCGAGGAGCTCCTGGTCCGGGAGAGGATGCTGACCGGCTGTGGATGTGAAAGCAGGTTGCCGTGGTGATGAGTGATTCAGGACAGGACTGCGCATGTAATGAAAAACCCCAGCAGCTCCGTCCTACTGTGGAGAAAGCGCGTCTGTGCGCGATTCTGGACGAGACTGCTGCTCTTCAGGAAAAAAAGGGTCTGCGTGATCGCGCCGTGGGTTTATGTGGAGTGTTTTGTCACGGCGACGATGAGCTCACGACCCCTTGAAAAGGTCTGAGGTGGTCTGATCCAAACACAGAATTACCACCAATGAGGGCTGAAACATTTAAGGAAGCTTGACTTTAATACTTTTTTATTTCTTTTATTAAAATTGTACTGGTGTAAATTTGAAACTAGATCAAAGGTATGGAAATAAAATGCTTTCAACCAGGGGCGGAGCTGGATGGAGGGCCAGGGTTGGCCATGGTCACCCTTAGCCAATCATTGATTATCATCTTTTATACAGATGGTGGCAACAGTAATATCCTCAAGTGGAATATTCAAAATACTTTACATTTTTTTTGGTTAAATATACACATCAATATTTACTAACATCAAAGATGATAAGTAAAGAATTCATGCTCTTTTCAGAACTAGATTTTGTGTTATATGGGCTAAAGAGAAAAATATGTGTCTCTGCAAGTCATCTAGGAGTCTTCAGTGAAATCAAAGATAAATACAAATTTTAATAAAAACGTATCAAATAATCAATTTATGTAGATATTAGTGCTTGTAAATATCAATTTTATGCAGAATGTTTATTTAGGTAAGTAATGACAATGGAAAAGATTTGAGGCCCCTGGCCTCAAAACTGAGTTTTATCCACTGTGCCTTTTATCTAGAAATTACGGATATTTTAATATATATGCGTCTATTTCTTAGCAAAAGCTGTAGGAAAGTATAGTTTGTCTTTATTTAGAAAATATGGATGTTTTGCTCATTAATTTTCCTGTTGGATCAGTGTAGACTGACCTTCAGGTTCTGATGAGTATTCACTTTCAGCCACCCCTCAATGTAGATTGGTAATTGCCTGGCCACCCTTATAAATAATTTCTGGCCACGCCTCTGCTTTCAACGAACTTAATAGTTCATATTAACGGAAAAACAAAAATAAAACAAGCAATGCGACTTGGCTTTAAAGTGTGTGGCTATTTATGTATTATTTCCTCACTAAACATAATTCAATTTCTTCTTATTGGTTTGACTTAGTTATTGATGCATTTCAATATTTTTAATGATAGTTTCACCAATTGAGTGAAAAAAAAAGTGCAAAGTTGTTTTTATTGGTGTTAATTATTCTGCTGTTAACGGGAGTCACTGGTTGTTGATTGTGGTGTTCTGTTTACACTAGAAGTGCTTAAAAAGCCCTGTGCACTGTGTTGTTTCAAAGAGTTAACTGTCCAGCACTGACTGAAAGTGACATTCCACAACAGGTTCTTTCATTCTTCCATTTGGACAAAGGACATCTTGCTGCTCGATGTTTTCCACCAGTGAAATAGATGCCTTAAAAAGGTAAGGATCATATAAATATATTAAAGTTTTAGGCAAATCAGCCAGGTGTGAGGTTTAAGCTGTTTAAACTGGCCATCTACTAACTTTGTGTTTGGACTAAACTATCAACAGTAGTCTAACAACTAGACAAAACCAAGAATTTGCAGCATAAATACATAGGGCCTACATGTAATATACAGTAACCTAAACCTAATATTCCCTATGTTTCCTTTTCTTTTTTTTTAGTTTTTGCGTTACTAGTGGCGTGTTTTTTCTGACAGTAGGCTGACAGAAAAGGGAGGATGAAGAGGGGGAGAGACATGAGGCAAAGGACCACAGGTCGGATTCAAACCCGGGTCGGCCGCGTCAAGGACTAGCTCTGACGTGCGGCTGAAGCTGCTTTGAAAAAGTGAGCCTGATGCATGTTGGGCGGAGCTAACCTATCCTTTCTTTGTCTGTTACAATGGCAGCTATATTTGGTGTGATCAGTGGGAAAAAGTATTAACATCTACTAGCCATTTTGGGGCCAGGGCTGCCCTTTGTCACTGATTCTGTTCATTACCTTCATGGACAGAATTTCTAGGCGGAGCCAAGGTGTTGAGGGGATCCATTTTGGTGGCCTTAGGATTGCATCTCTGCTTTTTGCAGATGATGTGGTCCTATTGGCTTCATCAGGTCGTGATCTGCAGCTCTCGCTGGATCGGTTCGCAGCCGAGTGTGAAGCGGCCGGGATGGGGATCAGTGCCTCCAAATCCGAGGCCATGGTCTTGACCCGGAAAAAGGTAGAGTGCCTTCTCCCGGTCAGGGGGGGGGTGTCCTGCCACAAGTGGAGGAGTTTAAGTATCTCGGGATCTTGTTCACGAATGAGGGAAGAAGGGAGCGGGAGATCGACAGGCGGATTGGCGCAGCGTCTGCCGTGAAGTGGGTGCTGTACCCGACCGTTGTGGTGAAGAGAGAGCTGAGTCAAAAAGCGAAGTTTTCCGGTCGATCTACGTTCCTACCCTCATCTATGGTCATGAACTCTGGGTCATGACCGAAAGAAAAAGATAGGGTAAGAAGCTCGGTCATCCGGGAGGGACTCGGAGTAGAGCCGCTGCTCCGCCACGTCGAGAGGAGCCAGTTGAGGTGGCTCGGGCATCTGGTGCCAGGAGGCTCTAAACCTTGGATCCAATATTCAGACAGACAGAGCTGGAAGAGTTTAACAGACTTTATTTAACAAGCTGCGTGAAAACGGTGCGTCAGCAGGGGCGGATTTCACGGATCCTCTGTGGAAACAGAAACTCAGGTCAGTGACTAAGAATGGATGGCTGGTGGCAGTTAAGAGCTAAAGTCACTGACCTGGTTCAAAGTTCAGTCCGATCACAGAAGGAGAGGAGGAATCTGTGAAGGGGAAAGGTCCTCCGCCGCAGGCGGGAGCTGCCCCCGAAGCGCAGTGAGGAGAGCAGTGCTGAAGCCAAACGGCGCCGAGGAGCAGGTGTTGCCAGAAAGGGAGGATCCAAGCCGAAGTCGAAACAGAACCAAATTTGTTTACCAGGAGATCTGAGAGCCGATGAGGTACCAATGAGGGAGTCCAAGCCGTGGTCAGGAAAACAGTCCAGGTTCGGTAAGCCAGTTGCATCCAATACACAGTCCAGAGCCGATCAGAATAAATGAGCAGACAGGGGCGAAGCAAAACTCGGGATCCACAAGACAGAAACAGGTCACCAAACAGAATAATCAGAAAAGTAGTTCGAACGCTAGAGTTACTCTCACTAGAACAGCTAGAATAATCTGGCACTGGAAGCTTGAAACCAAACAGTATATATAGGGGCTGGAACCAGGTGGAAGGGATAAGAAATGATGAGAGAACAGGCAGAGCTAAACAGGTGGGTGGAATAAGCAATCAAGCCACCAGTGCCAGGACCATGACATCTGGTTAGGATGCCTCCTGGACGCCTCCCTGGTGAGGTGTTCTGGGCATGTCCCACCAGGAGGAGGCCCCGGGGAAGACCCAGGACACGCTGGAGAGACTATGTTTCTCGGCTGGCCTGGGAACGCCTTGGGGTTCCTCCTGAGGGGCTAGAAGAAGTGGCTGGGGAGAGGGAAGTCTGGGCCTCCATTCTTAGGCTGCTGCCCCCGCGACCTGACCCCGGATAAGCGGAGGAAGATGGATCGATGGATGGATAGCCATTTTGGTTGGTGATGAAAAACATAAATTTAGAGCCCTGTATGTACATAATGCTTTTGCTCTTTGGTACACCTGGCAATAGACTGACAGTGGGAAATTAAGCTAAATATACAGTGCTGCATTGCATGGTGATCAATGCACACTATTGAAAATGTTTATAGGTATGGTATGTAGAATTGCCAGATTCAGATTTGCAACTGTACTGCCCATTGCCAAATTCGAACTTTCCAGGAACATTAAAAACACTAATAGTTACTTCTCTTGTACAACATTACTTGTTACAACAACAGCCCATGTCAAAATGGATACAACCACAGTCATATATTAATTAAATGATGTGTTGTACAGCTTTCTTTTCTTTAGACCACTCAACACCTTCTACTTCAGATACCGCATCTTCTCTCACACACACCTTGTCCTTATCATCAAGCGACAGCGACATAAGAGAAAAGAGCATTACTACAGGTTGTAGTAGAGTGAACAAAGAAGGTAGCCCATCTGTGGTGAAAGCTCCCCTGTCAAAGACTGCAAAAGAGGTAACATTTTAAGAGAACAGTCGTGTGTTGTCAGTAAACATACCACATTTCTGTGGCACAGACACAGGCAAAGTTTCATACTAAAACTCCTCAAAAGCAGCAAGAAAACCACTCAAATATAACATCTGGTACATGACACTTGTTTAATAATGATGATAATTACTTTTGTGTTTTTTGTGTGTAAGCAGATGGACAAAAACCCGCCTTGCTTCAGAAATCTGGAGGAGAGGACATTCTTGAAGAGTATAAATCAGAAAACACGCTGAAGCACTGCACCAGGACGCAACTTGTCAACATACTGGCAAGTGATAATACTGAGAGACTTGGGTAAGAACTAGCAATTGAACTTTGAGATGAGTTTAGATTTGTGCAAAAATGTTATCCTACCTGTCAGTACTAAGTGAATTTCTTGTCTTGTCGCTATAGCCGGATTCTCACCCGTCAACAGAGGGAGAAGTATTCGCTGGGAATAATTCTACTTTTTCCTGCACTTAAGGATCCCTTCTCACTAAAAGGATATGTACGTTTTGCATTGATTTTTAGGTGTCAGTAGAAAAAATTTAATTGAAAGGTGGCTAATTCAACCGATAGGATGGTTATTATTGCATTATATTATTTTATTCATAGCAACTGAAGCAGCACACTTTAATGAAACTGGAGTATGCTATGAACCTTTATTTGAAAGTACAGAAGAATCATTGAGATAAATGCATGACTTTATATAGGTGATTTTACCTTTGTTTCCTTTGGCTGCACCTGATGTAAGACTATTTTGATGTTCTTTCATTTGTTGCTGAAGCATTTTTATGATGCAGAGAAAGGCAGTGGATATTTGGTGTGGCGTCTGAAGACAATGGGCAGGGCTGCAGCAAATGAGCCATCATTACCTAAAGACCAAGGGCCAAAGTGGAGAAGACAAGTGGGACACTGCCCGAGCAGCTTGCTGGTGACGACTGCAAGGAAGCCATTTAGTTTTTTATTATTCACACCCCTGAAGAAGCAGGGGTGCTGGAGAAAATGAGGAGA